GGCTGTGTCCTTATGTGGAAAAAGAGATGGAAGGTGCTATGGTCTGAATTTGTTTTCCAAAATTAATGTGTTGGAAACTAACACCCCAATGCAACAGTGTCGAGAGGAGGGGCCTAATGGGAGGCCCTAACAGGAGGCAGAACCCTCAGAAAGGGATGAAGGCTGCTATAAGAAGGGCTTGCAGGAGTAGGTTCTCTTTCTCTCCTGCTATCCTGTCATGCAAGGACATAGCTTTTCTCCCCTCTGGAGGGTGCAGCATTCAGTACGATCTTCCAAGCAAAGAGTCCAAGCAGCATAGTCTTGACCTGCCTACACCTTGATCTTGGACTTCCCAGCCTCCAAAACTGTGAAAGAAAATTTTTCTGTTCTTACAAATTACCCAGTGTCAGGTATTTTGTTATAGCAGCATAAAATGGATAGTAACAGAAGGGCAAAAAGGGACTAGGGTACTCCCTTCAACCTCTTTTATAAGAGCACTAATTCCATTGATGAGGGTGGAATGCTCATGGCTTAACCACTTCTCAAAAGGCCCCACCTCTAATCCTATCATTATTGGGTATTAGATCCCAACATATGAATTTCAGAGGGACACATACTTTCAAATCATAAAAGCTGGCTCTGGAAATAAACTGCAAAGTGGTGACTGGGAGACCAGGGGGATAATTCAGGATTTGATTCAAACTACCCACAATTTTCACATCATCAACTTTTAGAGTAAGTGAGCGATGTCAGAATTTCTCCACCTCAGTAATATGGACACTTTGAGCTGGATAATTCTTTGTTTGGTGGGGGTGGCAGTGGGGAGTGGGCTGTCCTGTGCATTGTAGAGTGTTAACACCATCCTTATCTTTAGACTCTACCCACTAGATGCTAGCAGTCTCCCACCTGCATAGACGAATTGTGATCATCAAAATTTCTCCAGATATCGCCAAAGGTCCCTTGAAGGAAAAAAATTTTAAAATTGCTCTGGGTTTAGAACCACTGGTATAAGTGGAGGGGGGTGAAGAGAAAAGAGGGAGAAAGATCCTGGAGAAAACATCTTGTGTTCCCTTTGCAAGTTTCACTTTGTTTTAAATTTTCTTTCATAGCAAAAACATAACTGTATGTAAGCAGATATAGTAGCAGTAAAGCTTCTTATTTATGAACACAAGAGTTTATTAGACTTACGGGGAAACTCTTTTCCATAGAATTTGGCTTTGGTATTTTTAAGTTTTTAAAATCTAGGTACTGTCATACTGACTCGTACAGCTGGATAAACAAACTCAAGAAACACTCTCAGCCACATCTTCATTAGCAACTCTGCAGGCAAAATCCCTGTCATTTTGAGATGTTCTGTATTCAAAGCAATGGAAAAAGAGTATTTCCAGATTCTACTGCCTGTTTGAAATCTGTGGTTTTGTCTATTTTATCGTTGGTGTGACCTATTACTGCTGGCCAAGTGTGCAATAACATTTGTAGCATTGTTTGGTGTCTGTTTCTAAACAGTCACAGCTGTTATATCCCTAAACTCGGGGGCAAACAGTAAAGCAATGGAAAAAGAGTATTTCCAGATTCTACTGCCTGTTTGAAATCTGTGGTTTTCTCTATTTTATCGTTGGTGTGACCTATTACTGCTGGCCAAGTGTGCAATAACATTTGTAGCATATGTTTGGTGTCTGTTTCTAAACAGTCACAGCTGTTATATCCCTAAACTCGGGGGCAAACAGTAGCTCTAATATTTCTAGTGGATCAATACAATATACATCTGGCCCTAGTAAGTAGTTCAAGAGATCTGCATCTGAGCTCTCACAGCCAAAACCTACCAAAGAAGGTCTACACTAAGAGAAGAATAACAAAGCCTTCCCCAGATTCAAATGCCTGAGCTGTGTGCAAGCCGGTGCATTAGAGATCTGTGCAAGCTGGTGCATTAGAGATCTGTGCGCGGTCAGTGGCTGAATGCATAACAATTAGTTCTTGTATATCTTGGCTCTAATTATTAAGAGTCCACCAGAATAAAAGATCATGGACAAATAAGATTTTTATGTAGTATCTAGGTTTACTTTACTGTTTGCACTTTATCATTTTGTAAGGGGATGTAGTATTTACCTTATGTTCTAAGGCACAGGAATTAAATTTGTTTATCTTAAGACATCAAATTCTTGCAGAAATTCTCTTTAAAGTGTTGGCCGATTTCCCAGTCTTAGGTGTCACTTGAATTAAGTCACCCCAAGACATAGCTCCAACTATGGGTTGTGACTGCTCAGAATTTGGTAACCCACTTTAGACCTTTATGACTTTTTCTCTTCTGCCATAAATGGAGGTGATAGTTCATGTTTAATATTTCACACACGTTCAACACAAAGTGCCAGGCTCTGGGATAGATATCAAGAAATTAAAAAAAGAAAGAAAGATAAAGAAAAAGAGGGGAGAGAGAGAGAGGAGCAAAGAACAGAAGGAAGGAAGAAAGAGAAATGCTTCTGCCCTGGGGATCTATTCCAGAAAGCCCTGTCTCTGTTGTAAGTTGGTGAGTAAGTTGAAAGATACGCAAATAAAGAAAACAAATTTTCATAAGTACTTTGAAATCACTGAGTAAAATCTCATGTAGATTTAAGATCCTTTTATATAGAGGGAAATCCCCAGAGAAATAGACTGTACTGTTCTTCACTTACATTAAAATAAGATACTGCTCCAGGATTCTGAATTTAGCAGCTGTTGGTATATGTGTCTCTTGCCACACTCATAAAGGTTTTTATGTACAATAACATATCATATAGCTCATCCCTTCTATGGTTGGATGCATTATTTATAATTAACTAACTTTGTTCCATCTTTATGTGTGGAAGGAACAATAATTGGAACTATCCATTTTTAGTTCACAGGAAACAAGACTCTTCATTTTTAATAGTGCCATTTACCTACCACCCTTTCTGCCAATGATTTGCATCATTTGGCTGTGGCTCTTGTTTTATTTCAATGTACTCACATTTCACAACTGTAAGAAGATGGCTGTTCAAAATGAATTAGCCTGAAAATCATCTGAGAATGCCCAGAGTTTAGCTGTATTCTCAGAGCTTCAGTACAGACACACAGGGCAGAACTGAAAGTCCACAATGTTTGTACCTGAGTTTATTCATCGGTAAAGTGAAAATGATCATATTGACAGTAATAAATTTGGAAAAAAGATGGTTGGAAGTTAAAATGTTTGCCTGGCAGATGTTCACACACTAATTCTCTGTGATTCATCTTGCTCTTGTATCATGAGTCACTTTGGATCCGCAGAAAAAATAACCCCATCCACACATTTTGTTCTGATAAATGGTCTGCGTATTTACTTATTTACTGTGTTCACTAACACTAGTTTCTAGGCTCTCCTCTGCAGAAAATATAGGAATCTCTGGAGTAGGGGTCCCTTTCCCTCAACTCTACTCTCTCATAAATGAGGCCAGAGGCCGCCGGTCATCCTCCACCATCATGGGCCACGTAGAGGGACAAACTAGATGTTTACAAGAAGTTCTGTTTTTGGAGGACAGAGGACAAGGACGATCTTTGTTTGGGAATGAGCTTCAGCGGAGGAAACAGGGCTCTAATGAGTCCAGTTGCTAAATGTTCAACTCATTTCACACACAGATATAGCACTTACAAAGGGGACTTAGTCCTACTCCTGATTTGAAAGAGCTTTGAATAGGATAATACAGGAGTCAGCCAGGTGAAACAGTAAGCATAAGGGAGTGGGGAGCGGATGATGGAGGCGGCGCAGGAATAAAAAAATGCAACAGGCGGGGCGGATCAGGAAACTCCTAGCGCTAATGTTTCCTTCGGAGAGGAGACTGTCCAAGACTGAAACTTGGTTTTAGGTTCTTCAAGACCGAAGACGGGCAAAGGAGAGGCTGCTCGGTAAATCTGGGTCTGAGCTCCCTCTGGTGGCTTCTTGTCGGATGTTAAGGGAGGCCACAGGTGAGAGACGGGAGTGGAACTTCTGTTCCTCTGCCCCACGCATTGTCAAGATTTCCCCTCTGAGGAAAGTGACTCGTCTTAGTAGTTCTCGTTACGATGACATTTTCTGATTTCATGAAAGCCAAACTTCAACCGGAATTTTAAAAAGGTCCTTTTAACTTTTACTTTTTTGTCCCTGGGTCCTTTGTAAATAACAAGAATGATAGCAGGACTCATCTTTGTATTAACTTCATTTGAATAAAAACATTTTTCAATGACTGAAGTAAGCCACAGTTAACATATAAATACTGTTAGGAGAGCTGTATTTTATAGTTGCTCATCATCTGCTAACATTCATTGGGATCCCAATATGTGCATTTAAATTTATAAGAAAGAAAATCACTTGAGCTAATTTAAGAATATCAGATTTTAATTGTGATACTAAAATTCCAATCGTAGAATATTTAAATCATCGGTTTATGTACACTCCCAGCATACCTGCAGCCTCAGAGAATTTCTTTGTTTTTCTTTTCCTCCAGAAAAGAGTATCATGAAAAAAGGAAAAGAAAAGAGACGTCTCTGTTGGTAAAAGGGGAGTTTTCTTTCCAAGTTACTTCATGAATGGAAGAGAAGCACCTAGGTGGCTGAGGAGATTAGATCTTTATAGTTGTACAGATGAAGCTAATAAAAGAAGATGTGGAACTGCTTTCTGTGTGTCCTGATAGGCTGATGAGTAAGTAAGCCTGAAAAAGAATTGAAATGAGGGCAGGAATTTTGATTTTTTTAAAACACCTAGTAGGGCTTTGAACACTTGTTGAGGATGTTTTTCTACCAAAAATGGAAGAAGAAAAAATTCACAAAGCAAGAAATATAAAAAATTGAGAAGAATAACAACTGAATCCACTCACTTAAAGAATGTCAATGCTTTATCTTCATCTTTGGGCAAACATGCACAAACGCATCATATATGTGTAGGGAGTTAATCACCAGAGATGGTTTCCTATGCTAGGAATTACTTTTAATTTGAATTTTGGAGTGCTTTTTCTTTTTTTTACAATGTGTGTTTCAACTCTTCCTGTTAAATAGATTTGTATGAAGGAAGTATATGCCAAATTTTTTTTTTTTTTTACAATACTACTGTTCCAGTGTGTTATGGAAGAATTGGAGGCTTTAACATTGATTGAACTTTTATTGGAAGCAAAACTGTGCTAGGGACACAGATACACAGTGTAAATTTTCTCTTTTTGGCAACTGCACTTGGTTGGAATGAGCTGAATGTCAGCTGGATTTCACAGCATATAAGATTTACAGTCTTTGTTTTATCAGAACCTTTAATGTATGTTTTATACTAACCAGATGGGAAACACATTGGGTACCACATTTGATATGTATGCCTAAGGAAAGGAACTCCCCCATGGATCATGGCGTTAATGTTTTCAGGACATTTCCTATTTTTAACATTAGTGACGTTTGGTTTCTCTACTTTCGAAGAGTCTGTGAGCAATTACTCTGAATGGGCAGTTTTCACAGATGATATAGGTCAGTTTAAGATGCAGAAAGTGCAAGATTTCAGACCCAACCCAAAGCTGAAGAAAAGTATGCTTCATCCAAGTTTATATTTTGATACTGGAGAAATCCAAGCAATGAGACAAAAGTCTCGCACAAGCCATTTGCATCTTTTTAGAACTATCAGAAGTGCAGTGACAGTTATGCTGTCCAACCCAACATACTACCTACCTCCACCCAAGCATGCTGATTTTGCTGCCAAGTGGAATGAAATTTATGGTAACAATCTGCCTCCTTTAGCATTATACTGTTTGTTATGCCCAGAAGACAAAGTTGCCTTTGAATTTGTCTTGGAATATATGGACAGGATGGTTGGCTACAAAGACTGGCTAGTTGAGAATGCACCAGGGGATGAGGTTCCAATAGGTCATTCCCTAACAGGTTTTGCCACGGCCTTTGACTTTTTATATAACTTATTAGATAATCATCGAAGACAAAAATATCTGGAAAAAATATGGGTTATTACTGAGGAAATGTATGAGTATTCAAAGGTGAGGTCGTGGGGCAAGCAACTTCTCCATAACCACCAAGCTACTAATATGATAGCATTACTCACAGGGGCTTTGGTGACTGGGGTAGATAAAGGATCTAAGGCAAATGTATGGAAACAGGTTGTAGTAGATGTGATGGAAAAGACGATGTTTCTATTGAATCATATTGTTGATGGTTCTTTGGATGAAGGGGTCGCCTATGGCAGCTATACAGCTAAATCAGTCACACAATATGTTTTTCTGGCCCAGCGCCATTTTAATATCAACAACTTGGATAATAACTGGTTAAAAATGCACTTTTGGTTTTATTATGCCACTGTTTTACCGGGCTTCCAAAGAACTGTGGGTATAGCAGATTCCAATTATAATTGGTTTTATGGCCCAGAGAGCCAGCTAGTTTTCTTGGATAAGTTCATCTTAAAGAATGGAGCTGGAAATTGGTTAGCTCAGCAAATTAGAAAGCACCGACCTAAAGATGGACCAATGGTTCCTTCCACTGCCCAAAGGTGGAGTACTCTTCACACTGAATATATCTGGTATGATCCCCAACTAACTCCACAGCCTCCTGCTGAATATGGTACTGCAAAAATGCACATGTTTCCTAATTGGGGTGTTGTCACTTATGGGGCTGGGTTGCCAAACACACAGACCAATACATTTGTGTCTTTTAAATCTGGGAAGCTGGGGGGACGAGCTGTGTATGACATAGTTCACTTTCAGCCATACTCTTGGATTGATGGGTGGAGAAGCTTTAACCCAGGACATGAACATCCAGATCAGAATTCATTTACTTTTGCCCCCAATGGGCAAGTATTTGTTTCTGAAGCTCTCTATGGACCCAAGTTGAGCCACCTTAACAATGTATTGGTGTTTGCTCCGTCACCCTCAAGCCAGTGTAATAAGCCCTGGGAAGGTCAACTGGGAGAATGTGCACAGTGGCTTAAATGGACTGGTGAAGAGGTTGGTGATGCAGCTGGGGAAATCATCACTGCCTCTCAACATGGAGAAATGATATTCGTGAGTGGGGAAGCAGTGTCCGCATATTCTTCAGCGATGAGACTGAAAAGTGTGTATCGTGCTTTACTTCTCTTAAATTCTCAAACTCTGCTAGTTGTTGATCACATTGAGAAGCAAGAAGATTCCCCAATAAATTCTGTCAGTGCCTTCTTTCATAATCTGGATATTGATTTTAAATACATCCCATATAGGTTTATGAATAAATATAATGGTGCCATGATGGATGTGTGGGATGCACACTACAAAATGTTTTGGTTTGATCATCATGGCAATAGCCCTGTGGCGAGTATCCAGGAAGCAGAGCAAGCTGCTGAATTTAAGAAACGGTGGACTCAATTTGTTAATGTTACATTTCAGATGGAATCTACAATCACAAGAATTGCTTATGTCTTTTATGGGCCATATGTCAATGTTTCCAGCTGTAGATTCATTGATAATTCCAATTCTGGACTTCAGATTTCTGTCAATGTCAATAATACTGAGCAGGTTGTTTCCATTGTAACTGACTACCATAACCTGCAGACAAGATTCAATTACCTGGGATTTGGTGGCTTTGCCAATGTGGCTGATCAAGGCCGAATTACCCGATTTGGTCTGGGCACTCAAACAATAGTAAAGCCTGTAAGACAAGATAGAGTTATTTTTCCCTTTGGATTTAAATTTAATGTAGCAGTTGGATTAATTTTGTGCATTAGCTTGGTGATCCTAACTTTTCAATGGCGGTTTTACCTTTCCTTTAGAAAGTTAATGCGATGGATACTAATACTTGTTATTGCACTGTGGTTCATTGAGCTTCTGGATGTGTGGAGCACTTGCACTCAGCCCATCTGTGCAAAATGGACAAAGACCAAGGTCGAGACAAGCAAGAAGTCTTTGTCTTTTGAAGGGCACCACGTCGATCTTCCTGATGTTGTTATTACCTCACTTCCTGGTTCAGGAGCTGAAATTCTCAAACAACTTTTTTTCAACAGTAGTGATTTTCTCTATATCAGGGTTCCTACAGCGTACATTGATATCCCTGAAACTGAATTTGAAATAGACTCATTTGTAGATGCCTGTGAATGGAAAGTGTCAGAAATCCAGAGTGGGCATTTTCGTTTACTCCGAGGCTGGCTACAGTCTTTAGTGCAGGACACGAAACTGCATTTGCAAAACATCCATCTGCATGAACCCAGTAGGAATAAACTGGCCCAATATTTTGCAATGAATAAGGACAAAAAAAGAAAATTGAAAAGGAGAGAGTCTTTGCCAGAACAAAAAAGTAGAATGAAAGGCGCCTTTGATAGAGATGCTGAATATATTAGGGCTTTGAGGAGGCACCTGGTCTATTACCCAAGTGCACGTCCTGTGCTCAGTTTAAGCAGTGGGAGCTGGACATTAAAGCTTCATTTTTTTCAGGAAGTTTTGGGAGCTTCGATGAGGGCATTGTATGTAGTAAGAGATCCTCGGGCATGGGTTTATGCAATGCTGTACAGTAGTAAACCAAGTCTTTACTCTTTGAAGAATGTACCAGAGCACTTAGCAAAACTGTTTAAAATAGAGAGAGGTAAAAGCAAATGTAACTTGAATTCAGGCTTTGCTTTTGAGTATGAACCATTGAGGAAAGAGTTATCAAAATCTAGATCAAGTGCAGTCTCCCTGTTGTCTCACCTGTGGCTGGCAAACACAGCAGCAGCCTTGAGAATAAATACAGATTTGCTCCCTACCAGCTACCAGCTGGTCAAGTTTGAAGATATTGTGCACTTTCCTCAGAGAACCACCGAAAGGATTTTTGCCTTTCTTGGAATTCCTTTGTCTCCTGCTAGTTTAAACCAAATATTGTTTGCCACCTCCACGAACCTTTTTTACCTTCCCTATGAAGGGGAAATATCACCATCTAATACTAACATTTGGAAACAAAATTTGCCTAGAGATGAAATTAAACTAATCGAAAACATCTGCTGGACACTGATGGATCGTCTAGGTTATCCAAAGTTTATGGACTAAATGCTGCAGGTCAGCAGAGATTTGCACTAATGCTTCCCAACCCACTTTGTGGATATGAATTAGAAGAGTTTGTTTATTCTTATACTCTGTGTATGTGGGGTGTGTGTGTGTGTGTGTGCGTGTGTGCAGTCTGTTACTTGCACAGAGAGATTATTTTAAAAATAGGCATCATATTTGTTCTAGCAGGATTTATTTTTGTCACCGCTTTCCTTGCCTTTGTTTCTGAAATTTTTTCTGTTAAAATGTTTCTTGCTACAGAGGTGTAGATGAAGTTATATCACGGGGGTTAGGGAAGATGGTAATATTTTTAAAGGTTTTTTCCTAACTCACCTTCATTTCTAACTGTGCTAATCTATCATGGGACCTCAAACGCTGCTATAAAGGCCTTGAAGTTGCTGATTTACCCAAGCAACTCTTGCTTTCAAGATGGACTACAGAAGTTCCTTATCTTTTAAAAAAGGTCTTCTAACACACTTATCTTGCACAAAGAAAAAGAAAAAATTCCTTTTACTGTGTATCAATGATATCACTGGGGGGAAATGGTGAAAGCTCCTCTCAAAATTGTAGGATTTCTTCTAGAAAATACAGATGTAAATACAGAAGAGTATGTTTTTTTCTGAGGTCAGAAAGAGTGACCTGAAAAGCCTCCTTTTTTTTTTTTATGTAGAAATAATGAATAAATCTTTGAGCAATCTGGGTACCAAGTGCTGGTGGATTATCTTAAGACATTTTTGTCTATTTAAAACTATTTCTCTTTTTTGCCTCCCTAGAAGCTACAGCTGTTCACCATCACACCACTCCCATTTTATTCTTTTTGTCACTGTCAAGCAAAATGATCAGTAGTTACTAATTGCTAAACTCCCAATATTTGTGGGGATTTTTTTTTTTCCTGGTGATTAATTTTTCATTAAAGACTGACAGACTTAAAATCAAATTTACTTTTGTGGAATTATCACTGTACGAGTCAACGAAAGCAGTGCCATTGCTGCCTTTTTAGACTGAAAACAGAATTGGAAAACTGCCTGACTTACTTGCATCCCTTTGAATGAGTTTACAGACTGCCAGTGTCTGCAAAAGTTGAAGGCAAATGGGAGATGATGTCAGAGGCATCTGTTTCCTTTACCATCTGCATCTTATTATAAATGTAGTCGTCATAAAATGTGGTTCATTTTATTTTGGTAGGCTCTGAAATCAAAATGCTTTGCCATTATAAGCCAGTGGAGTAATTACAATGTATTGGATAAAAACTGTTAGGCAGTTTTGATGAAAATCTCTGTACAGATTGCAGTTTTCTTCTTGATGTTTCAAACTGTAGTTCCCCCAAGCTCTCTAACACTTGGGAGTCTGTCATTCTGACCTAGATAAAAGTGGTTCTTTCTCAGTAGTTTGTTATTATGTCAAAATGTGCCTCCAGAGTGATAAAGCTTTGGGTATGTAACATTCTAGCCAAACCTAACTTGGCTGTCATCTTTCTTCCATTATAGTGTGAGTGGAGACTGCTCCCCTCCCCCACGTATTCTACCTTCCAATAGCTCTCATCATTTTCCCTGTCTAATGGCAAATTAATGCAAATTATATTAACATAGGTTGAGAGGGCACCGAAAACCTGAATCTACACTATTCTCAAGAAGATTATTCTTTCTATTTCAGGGTTATCAACAAGCATGTAAAATTGCTACATGGGTGGTAACACTATTTCAATTATTGGTCAGAGTCTCCGTGTTTGCTTTCAATTCCCAGGATGTGTAATATCAAATCAGATCAAATAAAAAGGCTCTGGGTTGGCAGTGGTATGAGTTCCGATCAAGGTAAGAATTACAAATGTGTGCAGGTAACAAAGAAGAAAGCAGAAGCTACCACTGCCTTTTTTTAAACATTGTACAGAAATGCACCCATGGGCAGAAGAGAGCCAGATGAAGTATGTGGAGGAATAGGGGATGAAGAGATGTGGAAAATGAAAAAGAAAAAGTGAGTAACTCTGAAAGTGAATATGGGAACATGTTATTGATAGCAAAAGAAAGTTACAGGTTCACCAAAATGATCTTCACAGCTTATCCAAACTTTCACCCTCACAAAGTAATGCAGAGTTGATTTTACCTGTCTCTGTACTCACCCACTCCCACTCCAAAAAAGAAATTTCAGACTCAAGACTTACCACTTGGTTAATTCTAAAATAGCAAGTTTGCTGGAGAAGACTTCTAATTGCAGATTCCCCTGTGAGGAATGTTATGAAAGGGTGAGGGATTGACCCATCCATAGCATATGCATGCATATCATCATGCCTGAGACATCCTGCCTTATAATCTGAATACCTGAGGTGACCGACTCTCCCAGCACATCCCCTTTCCTGCACTCTCAGAGTGATCTAGAAAAAGTTCAAATAGTCTTTACACTTTTTATTCTTATCATCTTGAAAATAATTGAAGGATTATCATTATCCAACATTTCTAAAAGAAACATTTATAAAATGTTTTATATGTAAAATCAATCCCCTTTTCCCCAAAATTTAGGTCTGGTTTGAATAAAAGCTTTTATTAAAATAGTAGCATTGACATCTTGAAATTTTGAAAGTATATATTAATTTTGCTGATAAAGTAAAGTAACAAATAAATGTAATGATAGTAACCTGGCTTTCAAAAGTTTCAAACAATGCAGATTTACTCAGAATGAAATAGAAAGGCCATATCCAGAGTTGAATTTACTGTAATGAAAAGTCCAGAGAAGATTGGAAATAGGAGAATCTGCTCAGGAAAAGGGAGCTAAATCTATGAATATGTTTAAATTTAATTTGTAGAATTTAATTTAAAATTCAAATTTTAACAAGCAGATGACATAAGAATATGTACATATTAGGCGTAGACTCCAAAATATTAGGCATTTGATTGTCTTTTAGACAAACAGAATTAATAAGTACATGGTAAGAATGGAACAATTCTTATTTATGTCAAATTCCAAGGAATGGCAGAAGACCTTACACATTGCTCTCTGCAAATGTGTTCAAAAAAGAACCATCTCCACCCCCCCAATCCCTGCCACAGATACCCACACACATGATCATGTTTTAATTTCCTTTTTATGAAAATGTTACCCTTCCTTTCTGCAACTTAGTTAGCATTGATTAGAGATTTCTATGCATCACTAAGGTCCTGGATGTTCTTGAAGTAGTATCACAGTTATCTTTAAATAAATAAATATAAAATTCAAAAATTGCTATGTTTTTAGGCTTAATTAATTGGTCACAATTAGAAAGTTTTCATTGATTAATTTAGGAAACAATGTAAATAGAAGGCAACATGTTGTAACACCACTTCCAGAGGTAAAGGTACCTGACATTGTCAGGTATATCAACATGTTTAATAAGTGGGCTATTTACTGCTTATTTAATGTTGGCCAAATTGTCTAATATATGCTAGTATCATTATTTCACTTCATTTTGGCAGAAAAAAATTCCAAATAAATTTTTAAGACAGAAATGACTGGATTTTTGTACAGAGGATGATAGACACTTAAACGATAGATTCTAACATTCTCTAAAAAACTTGCAGATGTTTGGGCTACAGTTTATATGGCCTTATATTGTATTTAGTCCAGGTGACACATACATGTATAATTGATTCTGTTTCCAAAGACAGGTTTAGCCAAGTCTTCTAAAGTATGGTCTTTCTTTTTGTCTTGTTTTTCTTTCATACCTTATGTAGTTATGCAGCAAAGAAAACATAGACTGGAGATCTTGGTTTATTGGATCTGTACGTATAACAAGACTCCTCTGTTACTTAATACAAGAAAAAAAAAGTTAAATCCAACTTGGGTATGGTTGGTAAAATTTGTCCTACTCCTTCTTTAGGTCATTGGGTAATGGTGTTAGGATTTTGTATGGAGGTGAGAAAGCAGAAGTTAAAAAATGTGGGACAAGTTGAATGCTGATACCTAATCCCACAATTTCAGCTACTAGACTTGAACCCCCTTCCGTGATGGGCAAGACTTGCCTCTGCTCCTCTAACTTAATTCCATTTCCTGACTCTGCAACTTTCAAAATGGCAAGGATGTGCCTGTACTAAGGACGAGTGTTCTACATCTGCTGCTGCTGCTGCTGCTGCTGGTAAGATCTTCATTCAGGTATGATATCACTAAAAAGAAGAAGGTTCCTGCAAGTTACTGGAGACATACTAAATAGATGATGCACAGAATTGGTAAAGTGAAGATTTTTGTTTTAAATTAGTAGAAGGATAAGGATCTATAATGAATTAATCACAATATGTGCTACACATCGAATCATAAGATTTTCATACATCTCATTACAATCTTACAATTCTAGTAGTTATTTTACATAATAGGTATGAAACTCATATCAAGGGATTTTTCCAAAGTAAATCAGGTGACAATTGGTTTGACCAAAATTTAGGCACAGTCTTTTAAACTCTAAAGTTTTTTGAAGGAATTTTGAATGGATATATAATTAATTAATTCACTCCCTCCCCAGTCTACTGTCAAGTATTGGTTAACATGAGGGAAGAACACAAAAATAGGTTGACTTTGAATCTATCCTGTGAAGAATTGGCTCTAGAGACTCCAAGACTATTAGGAGTTCATCAAGAAGAGGAGAGGAGGGGCATGTGAGTTAGTGATTACCGCCAAAAGAAAGGCATCAAAAAGTGGTATCTCTTCTGTTTTAGACGTAGTTTATTTATTTCTGAAACGGGTGGTTATGAGGAAAAGGAATAGTTTATTGAGTTGGGGCAGTTATGATTGGTAAATTTAGATGAAGGTTATCACCTATTCTTAATTTGGTTTTGACTCTAGTTGTCAGCACATCCACCTCCCATCAATGAATAGGCCTTTCAAAAGAGATTCAGGATTGTCCATAGGGCAAATAGAGCAAAACCACTGACACTTGGTCTCTTCCCATTCCCACTGCCTCAACTACCCCAACATATTTATTATAACACATTTGGTCTGTTACTGAATATTGAGAGATGTCCTGAAGGTAAAAGAGTGCCTGAATGATATGTCATGTGTGTGTGTATCGTTGCTAGTAATAGCAGTAAGAAGCATAACAACGTATTTAATCCAGGCTCCAGCAGGTTTTCTTTTCCTTCCCCCACCCCCTCACAAATATCTTTATATCAAGAGTACAGGGCACAGCTCTCGATCTTGGGAATGCAGTTGTGAACAAAGCATATCTGTTCAAGGAGCTGACATTCTAGTAGGGATTATAAAGAAACAGTTTTCCTTTTTCTGCTTTTCACAAAGTTCCTAGGATAAAGGAAACTACCAAGTGGAAGTCAGTGCTCCTGTCAGTTAGCCTAACAGTCAATCAAACATATTCACATGGATTCATTTTAGAGAAAGACAAAAAAAAATTCTTGTTCTTTTTCCTACCTTGTAAATAATGCCAAAAAGAAAGAAGGTAAGGCGGTTAGGAAGGGAGGAAAGGGTGGAAGAAGCACTCAACCTAAATCGGAACACAGAGAGTAAGGTGATCAAAAAGAATCATTCTTATAATTGTATTAATTATTGTATAAACTATTTAAAAGGTTCTTTGAAACTTAGTGTAGGTAAAATTTGGTAAAAAAGAAAGAAAAATAATCTGAGCAGAGGCTCATCCACAGTACATTGCAATTACTCTTTCTATTTTATACTATTTCTTTAAATTTTCTGTATTGCTCTGACTCTTCAGATGAATGTAATTTTTAAAAAGTGTATTAACACTGATACTGAACTTCACCTAAGTGTCTCAGGTTTCCAAATGTCCTAGATATGGAGTACTCTTTTCTGTTGTCTTCTCTATTTCTGATGTTGGGATATATACTTTGTACTTTCGTGGTTTACATGGGGGGGAACGTTCATGTACATGCAACATGCTTAATGCTCTTCGTTCCTCATTTTGGGAGTCAGTTCAGCTCCCATCATTGTAATTTTCCTTATTTACTAAATGAGCAATATAAACTCTCTAATCCCTACATTGAAATTTGGCTCATCCCTCTACAAACAATGCATAAGACTCCTCTTAACTTATTCATCACATGATGCAAATAGTTGCTCCAAACCGTTGTTATACTATACTGAAAGATTACTGCCCTATTTGATTGGTATTTGTTTGTTATTTTAATTATATATTTATTCCTCCACTTTGTTCCAAAAGATGATTTTATTGTATATTTGTTTAAATTACATGGAAATTTATAATATGTCTATTTTAGCTTTATTGAGCTATTTTCATTTGGTGTCTTAATACTATATTTCACAAAACTTTGAATGGGGATTTATTTCTAAGTGTAAAACACATAATGCAACCAAGAAGTGATGAAATTGCTTTTATAAGATACCCAGTAAAAGATAAATGCATATAAAGGATACAGCTAATAACAGTTAACCCCACACAAACAAAACAGATGGTTTTTACTGTTTATTTTCAAACATTAACCTCAGCACCTTGGCTAATTCAGTGTTAACCAGAGCATAGGATGTTTACATTTGGCTTATATGCACCGAGTAACTTGTGGGTTGTTTCTCTCTACGTGTAACAAATTAAAGTGAAATGTACAGACATGCAGTTGTTATTTTATCTTTTACCCAATAATAACTAAAAAACTATTGAAAACATCTCATTGTAGAATACTCGAGTAAAAAGATACATGCTTTTTAAAAAAAATTTTTTTTTGTGACCGGTAAGTGTATTGTAACGCTTGGCTTGTTGTCACCTGCACCACGCTCAGCCAGTGAGCTATATAGGATCCATACCCACAGCTGCGGCGCCCCCAGTGCCGCACTCTCCCGAGTGAGCCACGGGGTAGGCCCAAGATACATGCTTTTATACACACATAAAAATTGACAAAATTCCATTACCTTAGGAGACGTAACGTTTTTCTCTGTACAACCAAAAGGGTGTACTGATGGGTTTCCCACAAGCCTTGTTTTGACCTTTCCCCATATTCTTGCTTAATTTGTAGAAGGACATTTCCATTAAAAATGTTATATATACAACAGTTTTATAAATTTTATGAGCTTTGGAACTAGAACTGAGTACAAATTCCTGAGTTAGTATCTACTAGCTCGTAGGTCTTAGGCAAGTTTCTTAATTTTTAATCTCCATTTCTCCATGTGTAAAACTCCCTCAGAGTTGATGCAAAAATTAAAAAATTAAATGTGGAAATTAATAGAACAGTACTTATTTCCTGTTTGTGCCCACCTCCAATTCTGTAGTCTTGAGAGAGAAGTGCAGCAGAGTTATGTTTACTTTGATTCTATTATTGTAGGTGCACAAAGAGAAGGCAAATCTACATGTAATGTGATGCCCCATTTTCCCAGGGAGAACATATTTAAAATGTTTTCTGTTAATTTAACCACATGTAGTTAATAATCAGACATCTATTTTAGTATTTATTATATTAATTGAGTTGCACATTTATATGCTTAATAATTTAGAAACTGATTTTTTCATATTCATATTTCAAGAAACAATTTTATTCAGACTTTCACTTCAATGTATTCATTTCTAGAGCCATATTTTGAGTTTTCTATATATTTACTTCTGGGATTTGTTGAGATACAGAACTTTCTGAATTCAAGTGTGATGCTGTCACTCATTCCGTGTCACAAGTGTTATTTGTGTAACATTATGTTCAGAACTTTATTTGGTAGATATATATTTATAATCTTCTACATTGTAAATTATTTTATTTTCCTTATTTCAATTTTCTCACGTATTAAGTATGCATAATGCTACAGGTGGCTAAGACTATGTGGTGAACATTACATTTACTCCAACAGCTATGAGGAAGTAAATGGAAACCAGTTGGAGGTAGTGTATTCAAGTAGTCTTTGGAATTAGAACTGTACAAATTCCTGGGTTAGTATCTACTAGCTCTGAGGTTTTAGGCAAGTTTCTTAATTTTAAATCCCCATTTCTCCATTTGTAAAACTCATGGAATTTGTACTCAGTTCTAATTCCAAAGCTCATTTGAATACATTATATTTGAATATGTTACATTTGTATATGCAAATATAATTATTATTCACCTTAGTACCATGCATAACAAAGGATTATATTAATATAAAATTATCCATCTAGAATAAATTTTTCTGTTAATTCATATGCCATTTACACATATTCATTGGGTTGGGGTAAAAGTCTACACTATCTTATATCCTAGTTGGTTCTTTGTAAGTTTGGATGCTTTCTTTCTTCCATGGCTATCGATTAGGACCCAGGAGCAAATTCCAGAGCCTTCAGCCAGAAATTCAACCTTTCAGTGAGGAATGCAGGAAAGCAGGCATCCCTGCAGTGGGACCAAGTGCCATAGTGCTATGATAGTAGGACTTGGACTTGTACTCTTAGTAGAGAGGAACTTTTTTTCTGTGATTGGTTTTTCTCGGGTATTGTTGTTCACACCCTTGGAAACTACAATTGTGTTGATTCATGCATATGCCAGTTCTACTGCACCTTCCTATGCAACTTCAGTATTTGGATATGTAAAATAGGTTACACTAATATGCTGACAATGAAAAGAGGTATTGACCCTAACTTGGAAGTCGGAAGCCCTCCCCTGTGGTATTGATAAATGTCTGTGACCAGAGCTGGGATTTAGAGTTAGAATTCATATACTCAGACATTCTACAATGTGGTACAAAACATATGTAATATAAAACATAGTTACAAAGTGTACATGAATGTACCCACAATTAACACTAGTAGTTAAGCCCTCCATCTGACCTTTCATTATTGCATCCTCTGCTCACACCACCCATGCTACATGTAACTTGTATCCTGTATTGTTTACCATCTCCTTGCTTTTTATAGCTCTACCATATACATCTCTATCTTTATCAACATATACTGTATAATTTTGCATGTTTTTAAACTTCATGTAAATATACTGAATGTGTTCTTATTTAATTTGCTTTTCTTTGCTCAAAATTTTGTCTGTCTAGTGCACATGACGTTCATAGGTGGATATCACATTTTCACCATGGTGATGTTTTATTATGTGAATATACCATTATATGAACACACTGTACCTTATTTATCCTTTAGCTTGCTGATGGGTTTGGGGGTATTTCTGATTTTTGTAAACCCAAGCAATGCTTTATAAAAATTATAAAGATTTATGTTCCATAACGTATATATACACAAATTTTGTTTTTTGTCTCTGCCTAGAACTTTCCCACTCACACCCACCCTATTTTCTTTCCTTGCATATGAGGGCACTTATAAAAGCTTATATAAAAGTTGAATTGAAAGATAATATGCATATTTCCATGAGCTTTTTGAAGACCTCTCATATACACTTAGGTCTGAAAGGTTCTCTGTTAACATGATATGCACATCCTCAGGTATTCTAGATGATAGCGAATTATTTTCCGGATTGTCTATTAATTGATACCATAGGTAATATGGAAGAGTTTCTGTTGCTCCATATTTTCTCCTGCTCTCGACATTTTCAGAGTTTTTTTATGTTTTCCTGTCTGGTTAGATAAAAGGATCTCACATTTCAGTTTTTATTTGCATTTCTCCAATTATTAATAATTTAGAGCATATAAGCATGAGTGTGTGTGCACATGTACACACACACAGTTTATTTTTATCATTTGTGTTTTTATGAAATGAAATTTGTGGTCATGTCTTTTGCTCCTTTTTCTATTGAGTTCATTTTTTTCTTTTTGACTGATTGAAGTTTATTATATATTATGAATATTAACTTTTTGGTTATATGTGTGTAGGTAATTTTTAAAAAATTTTTGTAATATAACCTTTGTGGTAATTTGAATATAATCAAATATGTTAGTGTTTTCCTTTATTATATATACTGTTTTGCATCTTATTAAAATCTTTCCCAAGGTGTTGGCCCTAAAAATATTCTCCTATATTTTCTTCTAAGCATTTTATTTTTTAGTTACTTATTGCTGCATAACAATATCACCCCAAACTTAGAGGTGTGAAACAACACAAGTTTATCATCTCACTGTTTCTGTGGGTTAGGAATCAGCTGTGGCTTAGTTGGATCCTCTGTTTTAGAGTCTTTCATAAGGCTGCAATCAAATTGCCGACTGGGGCTGCATTCTCATCTGAGAGTCAACAAGGGTGCATCTGCTTCCAAACTCATGTGGTTCTTGTTAGGATTCAGTTCGTCATGGGTTGCTGAACAAAATATTATTTTCTGGTTGTTGGCTGTAGGCCACACTAAATAGCTTACCATGTGGTTCTCTCCATGTAGCAGTATACTTTATTAAAGTCAGGAAATGAGAGACTCAGTGTAGAAATTCTGCTAAAAATATAGTATAATCATAAGTGACACTCCCATCACCTTTTCTGTATTCTGTTGGTTAGGAGCAAGTTACAGGTACCATTCATGCCCAAGAGGCTTACACAAGGACACAAGTACCAGTAAATGGGGACAATTGTGGGTCATTTTCGAGTCCATCTGCCATACATTTTTGTCTTTCATATTTAAATATTTCATTTGACTTTTATTAATTGTTGTGTCTGTTCTGAGATATTTCTTTTCTGTATGAATAATCTCTTGTCCTAAACTGAAAAAACTGAATTATCTTTTCTTTCCCACTAACCTTCAGTGCCATCTCTACCACATATCAAGTCCCTATATTTTGTGTGAGTCTATTTCTGGGCTCTCTATTCTATATTACTGGTAAATTTGATTGTGCTATTGACAGTCTCACACTGTCTATTGTTAGCCTTGAAGTCTGGCAAGGCATGTCTTTTTTTCTTCTTTCTCATTGTCATCTTGGATTTTCCTAAGCCTTTGTTCTTTCCTGTGACTTTTAGAATTAGTTGGCACGGTTCTTCATGACAAACAAACAAAGAACTATACATTTTAATTGTAACTGCATTACATCAGTTTTGGGAGAATTGATCTCTTTACATTAATGAGTTCTTATTCATGGGTGTGATATGCCTCTCCTTTTATTTAATCCTTGTTAATCCTTTGATAGATTTAAGTCAGAGCAGTTTATATATTGTTATTACAGTGGATGATATTCATATTTAATTATATTTTCTAACTGTTGCTAGTATATAGAAAATGTAATTGATTTTTGTGTACTTATATTGTATCAGGGACCTTATTATATCCTCTTATTATCCTCTTATTTCAATTTGCTTATGAATTCTTTTGGAAGATTTATGTATATGGTTTTATAAAGTGTAATTAATGAGAATTATATTTCCTTCTTTCTAATTTATAACTTTTTAAATATTCTATCCTCTTATTTCAATTTGCTTATGAATTCTTTTGGAAGATTTATGTATATGGTTTTGTAAAGTGTAATTAATGAGAATTATATTTCCTTCTTTCTAATTTATAACTTTTTAAATATTCTTACTGCATTCATTAGGACCTGTAAAATACTAAATGGATTTGGTAATAGTGGATACTCTTATATTATTCCTAATGTTAATGGAGTGCTTCTAACATTTCACCACTGATCAGAATGGATGATGTGGCATTCCTTTCTATTCCTAGTATGATCAGTGACTTTTTATGATGAATTCATGGTGAGATTTGTTGAATATTTTTGCTTCATCCTACTGAGATAGTCATGGTTTTTGCCATATCTTGTGGTTTATATGTCAAGGCAGTATAGTATTTGAAAATAATTTTTTCTTTTGAGATTAAATCCAGCTTGCTTTTTTATGATGAAACCAGCTTGAGAATGATTCATTTTATTTGTATATGTTTTTGGTTTGTGTTTATTAATAATTAATATATTTACATCAACATTTATAATTGTGATTTGCCTGAAATTTTTTTCTTGTACTGTACATGTCTAATTTTGAAGTCAACATTATACTTGTCACATAAGTTGGGGATATTCTATTTTTTTGTTCTCTAGAAGAGTTTTCATAAGATTGAAATGATCTAATGCAAGAATGTTCATTAGAACTATCTATAAAACCGTCTGACTTGTATTTTCTTTATCGGAAATTTTTTTTAATTTTGTGTAATTTTTTATTTGATGCTTATAGGCTTATTCTATTTAACTTACGTATTTAGTTTTTAGTCTGTTTTGGAAAGTTAAATTTTTATGTCTTTTTCTTTTTCTTCTAATTTTTCATACTTATTGCTCAAAATGCATTCTGTTGGCTCCCTAATTATCCACCCCATCCACACACATTTTTTTCATCTATAAGTTTGAGTATGTGTGCCTTATTTATTTTTATTCTTTGATTAGAGTTTGCCTTTTATATGTCTTTTCAAAGATTAACTTTTAGTATTTTTTTGTTCCTAACTTGTATTTTATGTGTATTTGGTATTGCATTAACTTTGGCTTCTGATCTTGCATATTTCCTACATTCTATTTTATTTTGTTTTTTCTGATTTGCTGTTGATGTTGTTGTTTTTTGTATCATCTTTAATCAGATATATGGCCCATTTTTCTTTCAATTTCCTCCAGCAAAAATATACTAGGAACAAGCTGAATTTATTGCTCATTGCAGTGAGAGGGATTTAAGAACCGTAACTTTGCTTCTGATTTGCTGTTGATGTTGTTGTTTTTTGTATCATCTTTAATCAGATATATGGCCCATTTTTCTTTCAATTTCCTCCAGCAAAAATATAGTAGGAACAAGCTGAATTTATTGCTCATTGCAGTGAGAGGGATTTAAGAACCGTAACTTTGCTCTGGATTAGCTGCTGTCAGGAAGTGGGGTAATTCTGAAATTGAGTATCTGAACAAATCTATCTAGAGGCAGGAAATAGTAGAGAGAAGCTGAAGATGTAATTAGTAAAGTAGTAGCAGACACTAATATTAACTCATATTCACTGCAAGACAGGGATGTGCCCTATCTCGTGGTTTAGAAAATGTTCATGATTTTTCTGTGTTCAGTCAGGATTATGGAGTAATCTTGGTTTTTGTATTGATCCATCATGATGACAGAATGGCTTTGTTCTGTGAAATTATTTATGTTCAAAAGGGACACCAGGCCTGGATGATGGTGACAGACCAACTTCTCGATGTCAGAGGCTCTCTCTCTCTATTTTTTATTCTTTTTACTATGCTAATTTAAGGCTATTAAGTTATCTTTAAAACCATATTGCTTGCATTTCATACATTTTGATATGTAGTATTTCTAAGTATTTTCTGAATTTTGTTATGGTCTCTTAGGCCACCATGAGTTATTAATTTTTACATTTATAGATTTTTTTCTAGTGATCTCTTCTTGTCACTTTTTATCTTCATTATATTGCAACTTCCCTTTGTTTAGTATTAGCACAACATGTAATTTTTCATTTTGATATTTTCAAACATTTTGTGCTGATGTGTTTAGGATGTATCTTATAAATAGGAAATAGCTGGATTTTTATTCATATCCTAACAGTTGTTGTCTTTTATCTGGATTGTTTAATCTGTTTATATTCACAGTGATTATTGATATGGTTGAATATATTTATAGTAATTAGCATGTACTTTCTGTTTATACCTCTATTTATTATATTCCCTTTTAATTTTCTCTTTCCTTTAATTAGTTTGAAATGATTAGTTTCTCCCTCCCTTTTACTGGAAGTGAATATTACTTTTATACATTCAATATTTATGTTTATTCATATGTTTACTTTTTTCTTTCTATTCCATTATACTGTTCAAGCCTTTCTTCTATGCTCATTTTTTTTTCTTCCTTAAGTATATGTTTCAATATTTTTCAATTCTTGTTACCCTAAAATTTTTTAGACACTTCATTCTTGCATGGTAAGCTTGCTGTCTGCAGAGTTACAGCTTAACAGCACTTTGATATATTATTCTGCTTGTTTATTTTGACTATTTCTGTTTTCTCAAATAGCAAGAGTCAACAGCTGAGAGTAAAGATGGGGGGACGGGTATTGGTGGTTGGAGGAGAGAGAAGAAGGTATAAAATAGTCATCTAGGAGAGTGAGAGAGTAAAAGTGATGGAAGGGGAAATGTACCATTGTTACATAGCCCTGGGCCTCCTTGATAGTAATGGGTATGTATTTAAAGTAAGAGTCCCAGTTTCCTCCAGCTTTGTTCAGCTGTACCCATGCAAGTGCAGAAAAAATGTAAAGCTGGATTGACCACGTTGTGCTTTTTTCCAGAAGTGAGATGACAGAAGAAAAGAATATGAGATGAGGTTGTATGCAAGGAACTGATTATAGAGAGTGAAGAGGCTTATGAGGAAATAAGGCTTAAGAGATACCGTTAAAAAGGACATTACACTTTTAATGTCATCAAAGACTGTTGAAGTGGAGGTACTCTATGGTAAGATAAAGTATATAAACTATTTAGTGCTTGTCATTTTCATGATTGCCTCATGAGCTAAGAAGGCTGTAGAACTCAAGTCACCATCATTGCATTCCAGGAAGCTGAGAGCAAGTAGGGAAAAGCAGCATCCCAGCTGACATACTCATCTGAAAAGAGACTTCCTTCTAATAACTTCCACTTTTGTGAGGAATAATTTTGGTAGCAAGGAAAAATTTCTAGAATTACTTGAGATTTAAAAAAACATAGCAAAGCGGAGGTATTGACCCCACAGATTCAGATTTTCTTGGCCTGGGGTAGTCCCTGGCTTCTACAATTTTTAAATCTTCACCCTTCTGGTTATTCCATTCACTAGCCATGTGGAGCTCCACTGATTGGGCAGATAATGTGGCAATCAATTACAGTTGTTTCTTGTTCTTCACAGTAATTATGTTGTATGAAATTGTTGCAAACACCGAACTAGCAAATACTGCACCGTTGCTCCTAGGAGAAATAAATGGTGAAAGTCCAGGAAACGTCTGGTCACTACATTTTTATCAATCAATACATAACCTTGTTTTATGTACGTTTCTGTTTAAAGACAGCTTATTTAATATATATTGTTGATTCATTATCAACATTAAACTCATGGCCAACAGCACTGTAATCTGAACGAACCTTATCTAACACTTGTGTTTTCTCTGTTAGGAACATCACAGCCTTCTTTTGCCTAGGAATAGTAGACAGAACTTCAGCACTACACTTTGAGGCCAATTTAAACAGTGAAATCGCCAACAAAAGCACAAAAAAGTGTGAAAAGCATGACACTAAATAGAACCTGAAAAGCACACTTGTTTATGGTATGAAAGCTAAAACAAGAAGACAGAGCACAGCCTTGTCCAACTTCAGCTGAGGACGTGCTCTTCAAGTGACTACAATTTTTGGCCACTATGAACATATGCACAAATGACCTTTCACAGTGATTATTGATTTGGGGTCAACAAATTGTTTTAGTGAGTAGGCATATTTGCAAATACTCAAATAATGAGGATTGATTATGTGCAGTTCTTTTTTCTTCTAATCTAGTTCTTTGATTTTTAGAGATCTCTGCCTTGAAAAATAGCTCCCACATCCACTCCTCCTTCTGTGTACCTGAGTTCTCTCTGCCCCACTGTAAAAACAAGAATCATTGTCTGCCTCTGTCTTTCAAAAATTTGCAAAAATTTCTGTTCTACTCTCATCCTTTCCTTCATTGTCAGCATTTTAAAAAGTGATATTCTTTGCTCTTATTATAGTATCATGGGGGGAGGAGAAATAGAAAATAACATGTTTTTCTGATGAAAAAATAATGTACGTGAAGAAAATTTTGAAAATACAGAAAAAATATAGAAGGGCACCCCAAAATCCCTCCCTCAGAAATATCAGAAATATTTGTATTGACATTTTATTAAGTGTCTTCTTACTTTCAGTTTTATAAAGGTACATGAATAGATAAAGTGATACCAACTAGGATCAAACCACAATCTATTTTCAATTAATAAGGTAAATGTACACTCAGTAATATTAATTGTAACACAACTAGTGTGCTAGTTCCTAATTTCCTTTGGTAATTCAATAGTTAGTCGGTAAGACATATTATGTGTCATAGGAACTAATCTTATTTTTTCCCACATACCCTAAAATACATTACAGATGGATTGGTGGTAAAGTGTAAACACAGACATTTGAAATTACTATGAGAAAATAATTATTTATATAATGTTGAGGAAAAGAAGGCAGGACTAACTAAGCATTATACCAAAGCCAGGAACAATATAAGAAAAGCCTGAAAAATTTTTGTGCATATTTAAGTCTTCCTTGTGTCTAAAACACAAAATAATAGCATTAAAAAGAACACTGATTTAGAAAACATGTTTTCACTATAAACAGGTAAAGATTTAATATTTTTAATGTAGAAAAAATTTCATAAATCTGAAAGTCAAAAGTCTTCCTTGTGTCTAAAACACAAAATAATAGCATTAAAAAGAACACTGATTTAGAAAACATGTTTTCAGTATAAACAGGTAAAGATTTAATATTTTTAATGTAGAAAAAATTTCATAAATCTGAAAGTCAAATGAAGAACATTACAACTTGAGAGAGAAGTCATCAAGGTAAAGCATGTGTAAAAGTAATGATGTTTTACCAATTCAAGTACAAGTACTGTTATTTTACAACGGATATCTTAAACTCCAAATTATTCTCCTTATAGTCTGTCCTTCCACTACTAAGTAAATGGGGGAAAAAAGGAAATACAGGGAAAAAATTAATAGTTTAAAATGTTTTGGGATTTGATGAAAAGTTTTCAGGACTACTTCAAACATAAAAAGAAGAAAAAGCTATAATCCCATGTGACCAAAACTTACAGTGTTTCTCACTGGTATAAAGTGTCACTATAGGTAACTAGTCCTGCTCAACTAAACAAATGATACTTTTCTACAGGGGCCAGTATCTCATGCTCAGACTGTTTCTGTGCAGTTCACGTTGGTGACCCATGCATAAAAGGCCAGTTCATTTTAATTCACCTGTTTTGCTTAGTTTTTTTTTTTTCTTTTTCCCAAAAGCACAACCCACTGGACCACTGGACAATTGTTATTAAACCTAGAAGAGCTGCCTACATTAGGTACATAATTATGCAGAAATCAGCTGTCACCCTTCACTCCCAAACCCTGAAAAACCATTGGGCACTTCTGTTGAGCCTGAATTAGTAGCCTAAAATTCTCAAGGTAATTTTATTTCAGGTGTTTTCTTTTCCTTTCCTGCACGCACAACTGTTTTGGGGTCATGCTGAACCAACTTTCAAGGATTCTCTACCTTCAAATTTTTAAAAAAAGAAATTGGTTATAGGTCACTTCAGCAGTTAACACAGTGACCAGTGTGGTATCCCAAGCCATAGATGAAGGATTCACTTTTCTCAACACACAAAGGATTCCTACCCTGGAGCCAACAGGCACCAACTTAAGTGAGAACTAAGGTTATGTTAAAACTGTGTTTCTTGTTTTAGACAGTAGGGGAGAAGTAGAAAGCTTCCATCTGGATAAAGAGCAATTCAGGAAGTTAAACAAAAACATATAAATACTGAAAATCTCATTACCAATTATATAAATTTAAGTTAAGATAAAATGAGTATTATATCTTAGTTTATAAACCAAGAAAAGAAATCCATTTTTCTGGATATAGCAAAAACTAAATAATTGACTACTGCTTTGATAGTGTAAGTGTATATCCTGTGTAAAACCAAGTTAGCTGTTTACCAGATACTTGAATGGTTCCTGTCCCCTACCACCAAAGTTTGCCTTTGGCCCGGAAATTTTATCTAAAGCCTCTAATCCCACAGGAAAAGAAATGTGAAAAGATATATATGAGGATGTTCATTATGACATCATTTATAAAGTAAAACTTGAAAACTTCCTAAAGATGAAAAAATCAATAAAGATGTGTAGTAGGTTATTAGAAAAATTCTGTGACAATGTTTTTTTGTTAATTGATTACAAAACAGTTACAAAATAACCTCATTTTTATATTGAATAAAAACTATATCTACACATTAGTCTGAACTACATCAAATGGTTTTTTATGAGTCAACAGTGATCAAATATGAGTAATTTCAAAGGGTTTACAGTTTATTTCCATATATAGACAAATTATCTATACAGCCATAATATACTTGTACATACACATACACATGCATGCATGCACAAACTTCTGAATTATGGGTCAAAAGTTAATAGTGGTTATTTCTGGGAATTGAAGATTTACATGAGTGCTTTTTCCCCCTGTTAATTATCTGTGCTTTCTATTATTAGAATAATTGTTTAAAAAATAATAGAAGAAAAAATTTTAAAATTCAAAGCATATCAATGAAGTATTCTGAAAAAATTAAATATAAAATTTAGAAATTAAGTTAAAATGCCTATTAAGCAAATCAACTGTTTAATCTCAAAAATTAGAAAAACAACTTGAGAGTTTTTGCCAAAAATTAGCAAATTCTATATTTGAAAAATAGGTGATTTTTAACACTTCTGTTCACAGAACTTTCATGACTAATAAATGATAATAAATATTAAAAGATTAGAAAATGTGGACAGCCTTTTTTCTAGCACTTCCAGTTTATATTAAAGTTCCAAGTAAATCTATTACATTTCTTTAGTTTAAAAACATATAGTTAGGATGAAATGATTTAGGGCTTAGATAATTAGACATTTTGTAAAGTACTATTTTTATATATTGTAGAAATAAGAACATATTTTTTTTATTCCTTCCCTTTTTCTCTCTTTTCTTTTTCTTCCTCTTGTCCTTCAATGACCATTTATGAAGTAATAATTATAGCTAGATAAACTGAAATGTTAATAAGTAAATTGATTCAGATTATTCCAGAAAATAGAGAAATGGTCAGAGAACAGCTCTATCCAGTCCCTATCTAAACTGAAAGTCAAAAGTAAGCACTTAATATTAAACATAGAAAAAGTGCTGTTTTGTGTGTTTTGGTTTCTTTTTAACATATTGTGAATGAAAAAAAGGTAGTATGTCAAGAATGTAGTTGTCAACCATTGTCACTCTTGATTTCCTTTTTTCTTTTTTTTTTTTTCCACTTTGTCATGTAAATAGAGTGACTCTTGATTTTCTATTTCATATTCTGTTTTAGGGCAAGATTCTCCTAATGCCCTGGTTTCCCAATTAGGATAGATGGCAATGACAGTCCATGTGATGGTAATGAGCTCTCTTCAAGTACATCTTGTTTACTTCTGGGTGCTCTGTTTCAGTTGCTTATAAGAAAGACACACTGCTGTAGACCTACACATGGCTAGGGCTTAGTGCTCTTAGATTGTCTGTTTGTCTTCTTGGTTTTCTTTGTATTTATTCTACTTGAGACTGACAAACTTCTTAAATCTGTACATTTATGCCTTTTACTACATTGGGGACATTTTTATCCATTAAATAGATTTCTTCAAATATATTTCTACTCCATATTTACATTATTCTATTCTTATATTCTTTTAGTATTAAATTTACGTAATGTTTAACTTGGCTAAACTGAAACTGCAAACTCTGTGTCCCCTGTTGTAGACAGCACCTAAAATAAGGCTTTAGTTCTGTTAGCCTTATCTGCAGTACTTGGAGTTTTTTGTATGCAAGCATAGTTTCTGAATCTGCCAGAGATTTGGCCAGAACTTATATGCAGAATTTGGTGCTGCCTTTCATAGATTTCTCTTTTCTTTGCTTTTCCACCTTTCTAATTTTCTAACTTTAGTGGTAGCCCTGACATCTGTATTCTCATTCTTCAAGAGAGTAAGAATACAGGTTGCTGGTTAAAGTTTAGCCACTACATTTAAGGCCAACTTACTGAAAGGCCCACAAGGTTTTCAAAGACAGAATATTTATTTTCTTAAGTTGGGGGAATAGAACTTTTTCATTTATGTTTTTTTGTGTGTATTTATTAACTTGTATGTCTTAATGATATTTTATCTGGTAAGGAATTT